TAAATAAACAAGTAAACAGCATTACATGCATAAATAATTTAATCACCTAACTAATTCGGTCGTTTAACAATTAATGTGTCTAAAAATCTGTCTTAAGGAAAATCTTCTCTTCCACATAATCCATTCATACTTATCTAACCAACAAAAGTTTATTGAACAATATTTCAAAAAACAATGTGAAATTCTCAACAAAAAAAAGTCTTAAAACTAAAACATGCTCAAGTACCACACATACCTGCTCTGAAACAGACAAATTTGTAAAAAAAATAGTACTAATATATCTATCCGTAGTGGAGTGAACAACATACAAAATTTGGGTCCCCGTACAATTTTCCGTACAAAAAGGTAACTTTCCAATTAAACATTTAATTACAGACATGGAAGTGATAATTAATGTTATAATTGATCTAAAAGAAAGAAACATCGTAAGTATCGACCGTTAGAAAAATCAGAAAACAAAACTCAATCATTCGTAAAAAATAACCCTACTTTGGTCATATCCAAATCTGAGAAAGGAAATTTAACTATAAATATGAAAAATAACACTACAAAGAAAAAAATGAAAATTCTAGAAGACAAAAATAGATGTAAAGTAAGGAAAACGGACCCCACCAGAATGATCCAAACTATAATGAAATAGTGGAAACTTTAATAAAAGGTCAACATGTTAATAAAAACCAATGGTCACAATTAAAAACGAACAATGTTATATGCACAAAAGTATATAGATTCCAAAAGTCCATGAAACTGATACACCATCACGACCTATTGTTTCATCGATAAACCGCTTTGCACTGTCAAAAAAGTTCAATAGTCGAAATATTTTGCAGGCAACTTAAAATTCGTAGAAGTTAACAAATCAAGTAACAAATGCATTATGATGATGAAATGCTGGCATTCTTAGACGTAGAATCCCTGTTTACTACCTTTCCATTGGGCCTCATAACGTTGTAATGAAGAGCTGGAAAGAAATTGTGGAACTAACAAATATCCCATCCCACACCGTCTGTGAGATGTACAATTGACAATGTTCAATGGATATTTTAAATTGAGAGAAACAATATATGAACAGATACAAGGAGAAATTATGGGGTGGACCAATTTCTCCCATCTTAATCCCATGATATCGTCATGAATGAATTGATTGGGTAAATCTCACTTACAAAGATTTAACAATAAAACTAATTATAAAATATGTGGATGACTTGTTTTTGATAAGAAATACTTGAATAATACAGTCAGTGCGTTCAATTCGTTCCATCAAGTTCATATACATACGAAACAGAAGTAAATGGAGAATTGCAATTTTTAGATTTATTGATCATTAGAGAGCACACTCAACTTGGTACAAATTGGTATCAAAAACCTACCAGTACATACAGAATACTCCATTTTTCATCGGCGCATTCTTTCCAAATAAAGACAAACGTGGTGTTTAATCTGATTGATAGAGCAATCAGATTAAGTAACACTACGTTCCATGTGGGAAAACAAAAGAAAAATAAAGAATTTACTGAGGAAAAATGGATATCCATTATCACTAATTACGAAGGATCCAGCGGCCCTGCATGCGAACCCGACATACTTACAAATGGGCTATTTTCAAAAACACCGTCCCCTACGATTCATATAATCTCGTTGAAAAAAAATCGTAAAAAAATTTGTATTAACAAGTTGCTTAACAAATTAGCTTAACAAGTTAAAAGCCAAAAAACAAATGTACTTGTATTCACTATTGATGTACCTCAAAATAGAACTAAGAATTTTAGACCACTAATATAAATAAATCTAATATGTAATAAACAGAACATTATTAGAAAAAAATGTGAAAATTTAAAAATAGTTAATAAATTTAAGGATAAGAGCGAAAAAATTCTTTATAAATGTGTGGTGATTAGTGACCGTTCGTCGATGATTATTCAGAAATCGTGAGATGCGGTCTGGTGTGATGTAGGTTTCAGAAAAACATTTTCTTTATCGTGCCACGTTTCGACCTTTATTGAGATCATCTTCAGATCCTGGGATTTACAAACATTGTTTAAATTTAACAAAAACATATAGGATGTGGAAAAAAGTGAATTTATACAATGCAAAAAAATATTTTTATTTTTTGTTTTTATTTTTTTATGTTCAATCAAAGTATTTCTACTTACTCAAAGTATTCTTTTTCTGCGGCCCTGAAGATGATCTCAATAAAAATCGAAACGTTGGCACGATAAAGAAAATGTTTTTCTGAAACCTACATCACACCAGACCGCTCTCAAGATTTCTGAATAATCATTCTTTATAAAGTTAAATCGTACGGAACCTCTTTCTCAAAGTTCCAATGTATAATATAAAATGCGAAATCATCACATATTACGGCCAGACGAAGCAGTACTTGCGAGAAAGAATAAGAAGTAAGTTATAAAAATAAGTTGATCATCTCAATTTCAAAGGTGGGTAACTAAAAAAATTATATATTTGTATATCCTTTGTACAGCCCTGAGGAAGGTTAAATAAAACACCGAAAGTTTGGCATAGGTTCAATACACAACATTCATTGGACCACATCCCCATGGATCTCACCATATATCATCAAATCTTGACTAACTTTATAAGGCTAGGATGATTTTGTACAAACCTATTGGAAGTGTGAGGTTTCGCTACGATATCCAATAATCTCTCATCCACTCCTTCCAATCAAAAGTCCTGAGACAAATTGACTCCACTGCTGTCACCGAGTGTATTGTCATGTTGGGTGTACTCCCACTGGCAGTTTTCCTTAGGGATCGTTTGACTAAAATAAATTAGAAAATTTTGTGATATTACTTCATTTTTAAAAATGAAATCAAAATTAAGTTTATCAAATGTTCTGATGTAAATTTCCTAAAATTCAATCTAAATGATATTTTTTTAAAAGATTGGTCTGGTCTTAATAGTACAGGCAATTTTTTTAACGTGCCAAAGATTCGGTTATCATATCCAGGATGAAACTACTCATTCAGAGGAAAAAGAGGATTGGAAAAATATACCTCTGGTCTGGCGCAGATAAATATAAACAAAACAAAAAGAACATGGCTAATTGATTTAATAACATTACTTTTTCAACGTGTATGAATAGCAACAGATAGACAGATCCATTATTAAATAGCATATTCTATAATCATTAGAAATTTAATCAAATTATTCTTTCGTAAACAATAAATTGAAAACAATTCAATCAGCCTTTGAAATTTTATTGGCGATTAATATAGAGTACTCTCAGTGGTTCGAAATTAGTAAAACTTTGCTTTAATAATTTTGTAATATANTAATTATACTTTTCACCTAAGGTTTTGGTTGAGATGAAAAAGTTAGTGTCATGAGCGGGAGGTCGTGGGTTCGTATCCCGACACTAGCTTTTTCATTTGGGCTTTTCAGTTGGGCTGCCAACTGTAGGTTTAGGCCGTATATAATTTTAGCACAGTTGTAGGGATGGTCTCAGCAGAATATCGAGACTCTTGAATCCCGCAAAACTTAGATTGATAACCTTTTAAATAGTTATGTTAGTAGATGTAATGTGGTACTTAAAGTATTTTAATTGACTTTGGATATAACTTTATTCGTGTGTGGAAGGGTAATCTTCAAAGATAGGGGGTTAGTAAAATAAAGTTAGAAAAGTATAATTAAAAAAAAAGTAATATTTTATGTTGATTTTGCGATTTTGTTGGTTTGGATACGATTTGAATTTGAACTATGTTTGAATGCAGTTTTTCTTAATTAAACCATGTTCCTCCATCCCAAACCTGATGTTGATGATGTCTTTCAACACTTAACTGGTCCCCCAGACCCAAAAAAATTAAACTAAAACCAACCCTCATAAGTGAACGAAAAATTTATACGAACATTTCTTTTGTTGAACAATTATAAAAAAGTTCGCTTAGGATTTTTTTGTACATCGGTTTTGATCATACTTGCCTGCCTATGACGAATTACACTAAAATCTATGCTATGACTTAAATTGATATATTTTATGTTAGAAACCTATAAAGAAAATACTTGGATTTGTTAGTAATTCATCACAGAAAACTATATTACACATTAGTGAACTTTATAAATTTTTAATACAATATGATTATTTTATGCGGCGCACATTAACAGAGTACGAAGAATTGCGCCACAGTATAATATGATGTACCCTGTCTGCAGATGTTAAACAACTTCTAACACATAGTAGTTCATTAATAAGGTATTGATACGATACCTGAAGCAAGTTAAAGTCTATGGTCACATATCCCTTTCTTACGTAGGCTGAAATAACTTCTTCACTTTGAGCGAACGTTTTCATTAAAATGAAATTTTTAGTATGTTTGGGTGTGTTTATAATGGAATACCAGTGCCGATTTACACATTAAAGTATTCTAGGGCATTTAGTTTTATAGATTACAGCATCAAAATCCCTGGCTTGTGTAACCCAGTTGTGTAAATTTATTTATTTGCGTAAGTGGTTAAGTGTGTATGGACACTATAGAATATCGAGTACCCACAGACCCCTCGAACCAATTACGTTAACTGAGGATAGTGAATGCATAATTTTACTGTATGTGAATGTATTTATTGGCGTGAATGAAGGTAGGGCGTTACGGGGAAAATCGCCTTGCTGGGGTGCCGATTGCAGGTACATATTTTTAGCGCAGTTTTAGGGATGATCTCAGCAGATTATCGAGACTCTTGAATCCCGCGCAACTTAGAATGATAACCTTTTAAATAGTAATGTTAGTAGATGTGATGTAGTAGTTCAAGGTGTATTTTAATTTATTTAGGATATAACTTTGATCGTGTGTGGAAGGGCAAGCTTCAAAGATAGAGATAATAAAATAAAGTGAGATAGACAAAACTTGAGAACCTGGTAACAGTCCTATTATTCATATCTAACTTTGATTTAAAATTTGTATACCAGTTGTGTCTGTAATGGTAATCATTTGTTCAATTATATTTGTAACGCACAAGTCAAACAGTTTAATTTTTTATTGTTACAGCTTACATTAAAATAGCAGCAGGGCTCTGTATAGTGGCTCTAGTCACAGATGCCATGGCAACCATCCTTACAGGAATAGGTCTTAAAACTAGCGATTACCGAACGAAATACAAATTCTACAGGATAGCAGTATACGTTATGATATTATCTTGTAAGTAGTAAAATAAAAATTCTTTTTGTTATTGTTCCGTATTAATGATGCTCAATATTGTACAGACAAAAGTCTAAAACTAATACTGTTATGCTTTTGTAATTTAAATTATAAAAGTTATATTGTAAAATACTAATAGTAATGTTTTTGTTTTAGTAATATCTGTTTTGATGGCTCTTGTGGTCTATCCAGTCTGCTTTGCAGCCGAACTTAATGAAGGTAATTTTTTATGTTATCCATCTTCAATCAATTATCATTTAAGGCAAAATAATTGGATTTTGTAGTTAGTTCTATTAAAATAACCAAAGTACAGTCAAATGAATACTTAACCATGTTATAAATAAGATTCTGTTATTTTGGAAAAAATTGTGCTGTGTGGAAATTTTTGGAGTAAGCTGTTATATAGACTATAAGTTTTATATATGTTTTATATTTGAACAATTTAATATGTAATGTGTAATTTTTAGTGATCGTTAATTAATAATTATTTAGAGATCATGAGATATGGTTTGGTGTGATGAGGTTTAGAAAAATATTTTGTTTATCGTGCGAGCTGTGTTTATCGTTTCGATCTTTATTGAGATCATCTTCAGGGCCTGCGATTTACAAACATTGTTTACATTTAACAAATACGTGTAAGGTGACTAAGAAGTTATCCTTTTTTTAGGCTTAATCAAGGTATTTGTACTCACTCAAAGTGTCTGTTTTCTGTGTGTCACTATTGTGTGTCGTGTTGAGAGCGTTACTGTGATATTAATTTCACTAATTTCGTGGTCCGCTTGACCAATTAATATATTACAATTAATTAAGGTTTTTAGTTGAGATAAAAAGTCAATGGCACGAGCGGGATTCGAACCCACGATCTTCGGCTTGATACGCCGCTGCTCTACCACTTGAGCTATCGTGACCTCGATCCACTCGGACACCAACTTCCCATCTCAACCGCACCTTTTGAATTTTCCCTCCTTTTTGCCATTTTTCAATTCAAAATTGTTGAGATGGGAAGTTGGTGTCCGAGTGGATCGAGGTCACGATAGGTCAAATTTGTTATTTTATTTACATTGAAGGTAAAACTGTTTAAAAAGCTGCTTGATGAAATAAAAGGTGCTTTTTTCTATTTATTATTTTATCCATTGTAGTGATTCTACTGTTAATATATTTTTTATTTTAAATGAAAGAATAATAAACTTTTATAATAAGTTAGTTTAAAAAGTGTTGTTATCCCTCCTTTTTGCCAGTTTTCAAATTCAAAAGGTGGGGTTGAGATGGGAAGTTGGTGTCCGAGTGGATCGAGGTCACGATAGCTCAAGTGGTAGAGTAGCGGCGTATCAAGCCGAAGGTCGTGGGTTCGAATCCTGCTCGTGCCATTGACTTTTTTATCTCAACTAAAAACCTTAATTAATTGTAATTTTTAATGATTTTAGTGTAAATCTCGAATGGTATACGTTTTAAAAAGAATATATCGATGATTGTTGAGGAAGGTGGCTGATTGGTCTGTAGAAGGATATGTGTTGGGATGTTTGTGGGTTTTAGGATTGAGAATGATGATGGAATACATGAATAAAAGAAGAAAATGCATGTAAATACTTAATTCCCTAATTTCGTGTCCGCTTGACCAATTAATATATTACAATTAATTAAGGTTTTTAGTTGAGATAAAAAAGTCAATGGCACGAGTGGGATTCGAACCCACGAACTTCGGCTAGGCGTATCTAGCTCTACCCCTTGAGCTATCGTGACCTCGATCCACTCTGACACTAACTTCCCATCTCAACCACACCTTGTGAATTTTCCCTCCTTTTTGCCATTTTTCAAATGTCGTGTAATCGGATTGAATTCTCGGCGACAAATGACAAAATTCATAAGGTGTAGTTGAGATGGGAAGTTAGTGTCCGAGTGGATCGAGGTCACGATAGCTCAATTAGTAGAGCAGCAGCGTATCAAGCCGAAGATCGTGGGTTCGAATCCCGCTTGTGCCATTGACTTTTTTATCTCAACTAAAAACATTAATTAATTTTGATATTAATGTTTTTTGTTTATATATGTTTGATTTTGAAGGAGTGGGGAAGGAAGTAGGGGTAGAAATTCATTTTACTATTAAGAGTCGGCTTCTTTGAGGTGAATGGGACCGACAATAGAAAAAAGGGGACAAACACAGAAGAAAACAAACATAAACTTAACTTTTTAGAAATGGTTTACATCAACAGAATACAGGATCAATTATAACAACGGTTACAGAATTAGTTACAGAACAAACACACGTAAACTCAGCCGCAGCTAAGCTAATATCATAAATCAAATTCAATGTCAATAGCATACATATAACACACAAAACGTATAATACAACATATAAAACAATCATTACACTCCATATATCAAACAATTCTATAGTCTAATTCTTCAACATTTATCTCTTATTTCCCCAATAATTTCGTCTACAATAATCTTGAAGGGCTAACCAGGCCGGAACGACAAACCATTGGCCCTTTTTTATTACTATTGTCGGTCCCTTTCACCTCAAAGAAGATGACTCCTCATAGAATTTAAAAGAAATTCAATTCAATAGAAAAAAGAAATTTTTCTCCCTACTTCCTTCCCCACTCCTTCAAAATCAAACATATAAACAAAAAACATTAATGTCTCACTAACACTCTCAACACGACACAACCGTGACACATCTACCTCAGAAAATACACACTTTGAAGAATACAAATACTTTGATTAAACCTAAAATTTCTAAATAGTGTACATCATTGTATAAATTCATAGTCATATCTTTTATGTATTTGTATAATTTAAACAATGTGTGGTGATTAGTGACCGTTAATGGATAATTATTCAGAAATCGTGAGATGCGGTCTGGTGTGATGTAGGTTTCAGAAAAACATTTTCTTTATCGTGCCAACGTTTCGATCTTTATTGAGATCATCTTCAGGGCTCAATAAAGATCGAAACGTTGGCACGATAAAGAAAATGTTTTTCTGAAACCTTCATCACACCAGACCGCATTTCACGATTTCTGAATAATTTAAACAATGTTTATAAATCCCAGGCCCTGAAGATGATCTCAATAAAGATTGAAACGTGCCACGATAAAGAGAATGTTTTTGTAAACGTACATCACACCAGAGCGCATCTCACGATCTCTAAATAATAATTAATAAGTTATTTGAAGATGTGTGTATGCTGGTGCAAAAATAATGCAGGTTTTGAATAGGCAGTCAAATCTATTTTCAATTTTTATAAAATAAAGGAAATTTATTTGAAATATTTTCCATCGCAATCTATACATCTTTCACAACGTGTAGTAAGTGCTTTCATTCCGCTGACATAAAAATCTTTATTTCGACTCACAATTAAGTCTTGGGAGGCGTTTTCGGTTTCGCCGTTTTCTCTGAACATTTCATCCCTCAAGAAGTGATCAAAATGCCTAAAATAAAGGAATTCTGTAGGCCAGAGGTCGGGTGAATATGGAAGGTGGGGTAAAGTTTCATATCCTAAGTCCTTAAGTTTCCACAGAGTTGGCTTTGCGACAATTGGCCTGGCGTTATCGTGAAAATGAATCGGCCCCTTACGGTTTACCAACGATGAACAAAGACGTTGACGTTTCCCGTGCATTTTGTTGATTTCTTGGCAATATTTTCTTACTGCGATAGTTTCATCATAAATTAGAAATTATACTGAAAACCGCAGTAATATACCACCAAACAGTCACTATAATATTTTTTGGGTGCAGATTTGGTTTCGGGAAGTGTTTTGGCACTTCATCGTTGCCCAGCCCTGTACGCCTTCCGTTATCGTACAGAATCCATTTCCCCTCGCACGTGATGATTCGATCGAAAAATGGATCATTTTAGTGGCGCAACACAAGAGACGGGCAAATTTCAAAGCGTCGATTTGTTTGGGCTTCGGTTAGTTCGTCGAGCTTCTTTACTTTACCATTTTCCTCTCGATGACATACAACGGCTGACTGGTCAACACTAAGCTCTTCCGAATTTCCCGTGTGGTCTTACGTGAATTTTTGTTCAATCAACGTTTCGAGTTGGTCCTCGACAACAGAATTGGACCTAAACTTCCCTGACTTAGACATCGAAAATTTCCAAGACGAAATCTCTGAAACCAAACCTTCACTGTGCATTCGGTAATGCTTCCCTCCCTCCAAACTGTATTGATATTACGCGCGGTTTAGGCCGCGCTTCGCCCAAGTTAAATTCGTACAAATAAATTTAACGAAAATCTAGTTTGGACATTTTGAGGATTTAGCATTGTTTACATGATAAGCACCTGCGATAATAAAACAACTTTTTAAAACATTCATTAATTTTGCACTAAACCAATATTAAACCATTATTGATGCGTTGGTTGTGAGATCTAATCTATGTTCTATCTAGATCTCTCTATGTTTTTCATCTCACCAAGTCCTTATACACTGACAGGCAAAAACTTCCACCCACTTAATATAACTTGATTTGCATTTATTTTTATATATTAATCAAAGTTTCACCTTTTTAACCTGTAATATTGAGTCTTTCTAAAAAAGCAAAAATAGTAAACTGATAAGGAAAATGAAAAAACACGGACAGAGAAAATTTGTTTAAATTTTGTTTTAGATTTTTAATTAACATTTCAATATCGCGTATTTCCACCTCTTGCCTTAATTATAACTCGAACACGCCCCGGCATACTTTCTACCAATCTGGAAATGTCTCTTTGCTGGAGGTTAGCCCATTCTTCACGACCTTTCAAGATCGTGGAGTGTATAAGGAAGTGTTGGACGTGCTCTTATTCGTCCTTTGACGTTATCCTGTAAATGTTCGATGGGGTCTGGAGAACGGGTTAGCCAGGCTAAGACCCTGATGTTATGTTGTTGAAGGTACGTTTGTTCTATGCGCGCGACATGTGGACGGGTATTATCGTGCATTAGAACAGGATTATCACTGATTTGACTGAGGATAGGCAGCGCATGATGCTCCAAAATTTCATCTACATAGCGAGTGGCCATCAAAGACCCTCCACGAACAACAACTAACTCTGTGCGACTCTCCATTGAAATTCCAGCCCAAACCATCACTGGGCTACGTTGAAAAGATTAGCTCTGGGAAAAATTCCAGGCTTCGTACCTTTCATTTTGCCTTCTCCACGCTCTTTCTCGCCAATACGGAAATAGTAGAGCAAATCCTACACTCATCTGTAAAACGTACAGTAGACCAATTGTCCAAAGACCAATGGCTGTGTTCTCAAGCAAATGAGAGCCGTGCAACTCTGTGTGTTCTGGTTAATTCTGGACCTCTTACGGGGCGATAAGCCGTCAGGCCATATTGATTTAATCTTCTTGGAGCAGTGCGTTCAGAAATTTGTACGATTCTGTTACCCTAGGGCGTCCAGAACCGGACCTCCTATGGTAGGACCCAGTTTCTCGAAAACGTTTAACGGCGTCTCGCAGTTTCGTAGGAAACTCCGATGGCAATAGCCGCATACTTGATGGAATGTCCATCATCAATAAGTACCATGCACAACATCCCCAGCACTTAGTGGCATTTTTAAGTTTAAAAATTGAAATCAAGAAAGCAAAGATGAAAACTGAAGTTATTGCTTCAGAATTCAAATAAGACTGAATAAACATTTTAAATTCGGTAAAAATTAAACAATGAAAATTTTTTTACCCTTGTTTTAGATTAAGAAGTGTGTTTATGTCTAATTGAGAATCCCAATTTAAAACATACCATAAACAAATATTAATTTATAAAAACAATGTGACAAATTAAGGGCAGAATTGTCTTCTATCGAGAAAATGGAAAAAAAAATCAGTTGGGTGGAATTTTTTGCCTGTCAGTGTATATTTTTAAATATTATTGATATTGTACAGAGAATAATTGAAAGTAGTCTAATGATAGAAAAGCTTTTAGATGTTTCTTATAAATATTTTTGGATTTACATAATTTTATAACTAATTAATCTTTTATGAAAGGTATTGGTTGATATAAAAAAGTCAAGTGTCACGAGCGGGATTCGAACCCTCGACCTTCGGCTAAATACGCCGCTGCTCTATCACTTGATATCGTGATTTCGATCCGCTCGGACACTAACTTCCCACTTCAACCTACGTTTCGAATTTTCCCTCCTTTTTGCCATTTTTCGAATTTTCCCGCTCGTGACACTGACTTTTTATGTATATACCTTTCATAAAAGATTAATTAATTGAAAAAATGATCATTCGGAAATCGTAAGATGCGGTCTGGTGTGACGTAGGTTTCAGAAAAACATTTTCTTTATCGTGCCAACGTTTCGATCTTTATTGAGATCTTCTTCAAGGCCTGGGATTTACTAACATTGTTTAAATTTAACAAATACATGTAGGACATGTAAAAAATGAATTTTTGCGATGCAAAAATTTTTTTAAATATTCAATCAAAGTGTTTGTTTTCTGCGTAATTGTGCCATTCTTGTGTGTCGTATTGATAGTGCCAGTGGGATATTGAAACAAACATAAACGTAACTTTTTAGAAATGGTTTACATCAACAGGGATAAACACAGCATCAATTATAGAACAAACACATGTAAACTCAGTCGCAGCTACGCTAATATCATTAATCAAAATCAATATCGATGACATACATATCGGGTTGTCCGGAAAATAATGCAGGATTTTAAGTTTTCATTAAAAAAAATCTATATAAAATATTCTGTTTACGTTTACAGGATTANTATTTTGATTAAAGAACATTGCTTTAAAGTAACTAGTTTCTTTTTTTTTGTTTAATACCAAAATCCTGCATTATTTTCCGGACAACCCAATATATCGTCATCACATCACACAAAACATATAATATAACATATAAACATTCCACACATCAAACATTTTTACATAGTATAATTTTTGAACAATGTCTGTATGATCCTGAAAGGATAATCTGGCCGCACCATTACCAACGTTTTTTCCCATCGTCGTTCTTTTCCCCTCGAAGAAGCCGACTCCTTTTGCAAAAGTTTGTTCTGTAACTAATTCTGTAACTGTTGTCGTAATTGATCCTGTATTTATCTCTGTTGATGTAAACCATTTCTAAAAAGTTAAGTTTATGTTTGTTTTGTGTTTGTCCCCTTTGTTCCATTGTCGGTCCCATTCACCTCAAAGAAGCCGACTCTTCATAGTAAAATCTATGAATTTGATTCCATGAATAAAATCTATTCTATCCCTACTTCCTTCTCCACTCCTTCAAAATCAAACATATAAACAAAAAACATTAATGTCTCACTAACACTCTCAACACGACACACAAGAATGGCATAATTACGCAGAAAACAAACACTTTGAGTGAGTAGAAATACTTTGATTGAATATAAAAAATATTTTTTGCATTGTATAAATTCATTTTTTTCACATCCTACATGTATTTGTTAAATTTAAACAATGTTTGTAAATCCCAGGCGTTAAAGATGATGTCAATAAAGAATGAAACGTTGGCACGATAAAATTTTTTTTTTCTAAAACCTACATCACACCAGACCGCATCTCACGATTTCTGAATAGTCATCGACTAACGGTCACTAATCACCACACATAATTGAAAAAAGTTAATTAGTCAATCGGACCACGAACTGTAATGGATAATTTTATTATTTAATGGATAATTTTATTTACATTAGGTAAATTATTGTAAAGTTTTATAAATTTAACAAAGAATGTATTATAAAAACAATGTGAACGACACAACGGCATTTTAATTGGATTTAGAGAAGGTGTAAAAGTAGTTTTTTTTTACTTTAAAATGAGAAACAATATCAAATAGGTAAAATGGTTTGTGTATTGTTCTTATGGCATGGAAAATAGTTAAAATTTTGTATTTTAACAAATCGTCAATTTTTAAAGTGGATAAATCATAGTATTTGTCATAAATTAATCGTATTGCAGATTACAGATATAGCAAATAAATGTGTGGTGATTAGTGACCGTTAATCGATATTTATTTAGAAATCGTGAGATGCGGTCTGGTGTGATGTAGGTTTCAGAAAAAGATTTTCTTTATCGTGCCAACGTTTCGATCTTTATTGAGATCATCTTCAGGGCTCAAAGTGTTTGTCTTCTATGTAATTGTGCCATTCTTGCGTGTCGTGTCGAGAGTGCCCGAGAGAAACCTACATCACACCAGACCGCATCTCACGATTTCTAAATAAATAGCAAATAAACATATTTATAGTAACATGTAACTTATAAAGATTTTTACTAGAAAGACTAGAAATTTCTGTAAGGCCTAAGTTATATATGGAAGCATTAATGCATTAAAAAGCTTTAAGCTTCCCGCCTAAACATTTTAAATTCTGTAAAAAGTAAACATTCAAAAATCCTTTATCCTTGTTTTGGATTAAGGATTAAGGGTGTTTATCTCTCATTCATATTCCCAATTTAAAACATATTTATTGATAAAAACAATGAGACAAATTATGGGTAGATTTTTGTTTTGTAGAGAAAATAAAAAAAATCAATTATGGGAATTTTTTGCCTGTCAGTGTATAAAAAGTATAATTAATTTATATGTATGTTTTTTGTTTTTTCAGGCAATCGGATGGTTTGGGAGTTCGGATGGGCCTACGGAGTTGGTTGGGGCTCAGCAATATTTTTATTCGGAGCTGTAGTGCTTCTCCTGTGTGACAAAGAATCCGAAGAAATCTATTACAAAGAACGAAAAGTGGGTGGGGCCTAGTGCGCCGCCCCCCTGCCCGATTTGGTTCTGTAGCCAAGTGTCGGCAGGGAACCCAAACGGAGGTAGCCACACAACCTATGACATTACACGGGGCAATTTATAGACCTTGTTTAAAATTAAAGATATGATAGAACATGAAAAACCGATTAATGTCCCCGATCAAACAAACTCAGTTTTATTTTTTATTTTTTTTTTTAATTTTAAATAAGTAGGTATCGTTTTATTTAACATTAATCATTGGGAGACACAATGAATATATTAATCTATTTTTCCATCGATTCATTTACCCAAATCATGCTTCAAGTTTTGTTTTTGTCTACGCTCTTCTTAAATTATTAAAACTTTTCTTTTCCAAATGTTTAAAATAATTATTAACGTGAATAGACAATACTTTCTAACCGCATTTTGCCAATATTTAATTTAAAACACGTAGTTTCCTAAAGCAAACATCGTTTTTTTGATTAAAAACAAAAAGAAAAAAAAAAGAAAAAAAAACGATTACACAATACATGCACCAACTTTTTCCTAGATGTTGAAGCAGCAGAAAACTGCACTTACAGCATAGGGATGTTTTATTTAATTTTAAAAAATGTGGTTACTCTTTATTCTTTAAGAGAGCTGTGACGTAGACAATATTGTCCTTAAATAACAAGTATAATTTAATGATTTATCAATACTCAGTTGTGAGTATGATAAAAGTTTGTTTTCATGTTAGTAAAAAAATTTATTCTAGACAATTGCTGTAAAGTACAATACAGTTTAGTATAATTTAAATGGTATAAAATAACGGTGCCATTGTAAGGCACTTAATTTAATTGTAAAGAAAATATATGAAGCTATAAAACTATATCGGAGGTTGTAATGTCTTGATTATTATCGAAGGCTTTTGAATTTGCATTTCTCAAATTAAAAATTAAAGCCTTGTTAATAATTATGATTGTTTTATTATTTATGACTTGACAATATTGGCTATTTTGCCTTTTATGGGAATAATATAAAAAGTGCCTGCATTTGGAATTTATTAAGGAATATCAGCGGTTTGTTTTTGAATAAATTTATGAAAGTTTTTTCTTTTCTTAAATTGTTGATAAAACGTGTTTTGGGTAAATGAATTGTATAAAAATTTCTATTTATTGCCTTTTTTAAGGTTATTGATTAAAATAAAATTTAAAAAATAGATGATTTGTTAATAAAACTGAGAATCCTGGCAATGACACTTATATTAATGATAATTGGAGATGAATATAATAAAAGAATGACCATCTTTTATCGTCAAGAAGAGATCTGCTGCATTGAGATTGTTTTAGAGCAAATCTCTTGAATTCCATTTTGGCCGAAAACTTTTACAAATTCCTCAAATTAAAGTGATTTGTAAACTCCAGCTCGAGGACGGGCTTTTTCACAAAAACGTATAGTTTATGGTTATTTTAATGCAATGACAGAGGTCGGAGTTTTCTAAAGGCGCAGTACGATTAATTTAAGAAAACAAGGACTATGTCTAATTTTAATTAGATGTTTTAAACATTTAATGTGGCTACCTGTTGACAGTGATTTAGAGTCATATTTTTTAAAAGATTGCCTCACAAACTGTACAAAACAAAAACGAGAAACTTATGTTTCGATATCAACTGTTGTGTGATAATTGGGGATTGTGACAGTGCTCCTGCCGTAATGGGGAAAAAAAGAAACTAAACAACAAAAACGATAAAAATAAAAATAAAATTTATAATAGAGAAAGCGCTCTCACGCTTTTTATATATTAATAAGAAAAAGATGGACATTTGAATTTAAAGGTACAAGAATACGGATGTTTGTATGTTGTGACTTTGAATCTATGATATAAAAACAAAACAGTAATATCGTCAAAAAAATAAAAAATGTACATAATTTATAGAAACATTTGTTTGTTCTCTATTGTAAATGTAGTCTTTGTATCGGAAACTTGTTTTTCAAACTTAATTTTGAATTTTCAGTCAAAATCCAAATCTGCTATCAACACTATGTTGCTATGGGTGCCAAGTGCATATTTATTATTTAATTAATATTCAAACTAACTGTTATAGATGTTGACATTATTGAATTTTTTTTTTTTAATTTTGTACTATTGATTGTGAATATAAGTGTTCATAATTCTCAGTTACCTTATGTTAAATTAGATTCAACAACCCAAATCCTAAATAGATGCAAATTATTTTTAAAAAACAAAACAATCTATTTAAAATATATATGAAATTATGTACAAATTATTAAAATTGTTTCAGACCAAAAGGAGAAGATTCAATTATAAATATTGAAAGAAAGTAAAGAGCAAGAATAAGATGGGATATAAATAGTGTTGCACACTTAAGAAAACAAAACAAACATTAAAAAAAATTAACATATCTCAAGATGATGCTCTTATTTTATATAAATAAAAGAAATGAGTGTATATACATAATTTAAAACTTCCACGTATACAGTAGAATAAGAAATTATATAAAACATCAAAAAATAACGTAAAATAAAGTAATGCAACAAAAATTTAATAAGTTGTCTACAGACTGCCATGTGGATTTTTTAAACCTTAATAGATTAATTTATTTTAATGTCTGATAAATTAAAATAACAAAACGAAAACAATTGAAACATTTTTTTTTGTTAAATATAAAACGTAAAATGTGGCAAACCCCGATTGTAAATACACTGTGTAGATGATTGTTTTTACATTGTATACTATAATATTTGAAAGAATTATTATTTTTAACCGTATTACTGATATCAATAGTGATTTTATGTAGCTGTAGGTGTTATTATGTTAACTTTATTTATACATGGGTGGATCTACTTATATAATATGTGTAACATGGAATTAAAGTCCTTCAGGTAGATAGGCATGTTGTATTTAATCTAAGTTTGTTTTGATTGTCAATTTGATTTTTGGTTGCCAAATGTGATTTCGCATGATTAAATGATAATTATTGAACGATTTATTGATAATTTGGGATTTTAACTCTAAACTCCGGTTCAGTGAAACGTGCAATTAGCGGATTATCATCATGACACTCTTAAATTTCATTTTTTATATTTGTTTAGTTTTCAACAAAACATGATTGACAATTTAATTATAATGAAAAGAGGGTGCTGTGATAGATTTTAATAGTGCTTCTTCATTACCCACCAGAATATTTTGAGGTTCCTCTGCTCTGATCAAAGATGTTACAATATCGTCGATAATGATGATGTGTAATGCTTTTTTTGTTGTATTAATAAAATTTGAAATGTTTATTTTTTTATGTATTAATATATTTCAATTTGTGTTAGGCCTATAATTGTATAACATATCATGTATAAAGCTTTTAATATTTTTTAAGGAAAGAAACATATTTAATTTTTATGGTATACTAAGAGGTAATATATTAAAAATAAATGCTACTGTTTTAAATAATAAAAAAAATGATTAATTGATATTTATAATGATGTATTATAATTATATGGATGTTGCATTTATTTGGTTTAACGTTTGGTATATAAAACGATAAATTTAGTAATATAGAAATGAATGTTTGAAAAAAAAAAAAAATATATATATAAAAGTGGATTCACTCAAAAGATGTGTATTTTCAGCTATTCGGAGCACCTGGCTTATTAAATATTTTTTAGCAAAATATATCCATCTCATCTCTGGTACTAATTTGTCCATGAACGTTTACAGGAAGATGTTGTAAATATATTTTTATGGAAGCCAGGGAATGTGTACTGTTTTTTAAAATGAGGACCATTTTAAACTGGATGTAATTGTACATAAACATACGTTAGTTTTGGTTGAAGAGAACACCTCATAAACCATATATTTTTAAATGAAATGGATGAAAAATCGTGAATTGTTTGTTTTGCAGAATAATTGATGTGTTAATTAAATATACATTTTGTGTTATGAGGTTTTTTCTTTGACCACGATTGAATATTCTGATCTGTCTGGTTAATTATTAATTATTAATTATAATTATTCATGTTCTGTGTATTATATGTACAGATCATCTCCGTAAATCTTTTTCAAAACTTAAGAACAACTTTCCAAACATTTATTTTAAATCTAGTAATTGTAAAAAAAAAGGAACTTAGGCTACAATGCATGTTAGTTTGTAAACGTTAGTTTTATATTATTACTTGTCGTTTATATTAAAAACCAAAAAAATTAATAAAGCGTGTTCAATGATAATGTATACAAAACAAAATTTGCAACAAGCTGTAAAAAAGTATCGATGAATGGCGATGTCCATTTTGATATTACACCAACAATGAAACTTCAACATCGGACTGCATAAACACATTTTGATTTTTTAAAAATGTGCAAAAATAAACAAATGGAAAATTGATGTTATGATTTTTTTAATGCGTCCTTTCTGATCTAAGATGGTGATTGGAAAATATTTTTAGTAGCTTGTTGAAATCTTTGTTTAATTATTTGTTCAGTGCAATCTTAGTAATCCGAACCTGTATTATTTCGAATTTGGTCCTTCTCTTTGGGCCGAGAATATTTGAATATATGACAAAAAGAGGGAAATTTGAAAAAAAAAAGTTGTAGGTTGTGATGATGAGTTGGTGTGCCGGGGGAAATCACGATAGCTCAAGTGGTAGAGCAGCGGCATAGTGAGCGAAAGGCCGTGGGTTCGATTCCCGCTCGTGACACTACTTTTTCATCTCAGCCACACCTTAGATAAAAATTATAAATCAATTTAAATAATTATTTTGGTTAAACAGGACCAACTAAAATACATATGTATGCTACATATTTTTAATAGTGCATAAATCTTTTTCAGAAACTCATTATTTTACATTAACGTGCTTTTAATAACAAGGAAAATTGTTTATAATGAAAACGAGAGGGTGAAAAAAAATCTTCTACCGGAGTTTTCTTTGAACAGTTTTTTGGTTTAATATCTACGTATCATATGTCCATATATTTTTTATAATTTAAATGTGAGTTTTCATGTTATTATCGATTAAAATGCTGTATTGCATAAATAAATGTTTTACTTATATTCCTAATAACCAGAATTTAAAGTGATCCGAACTAATGATTGCAAGAGCTGGTTCAGATTACCGAGACTGCACTGTATAACATGGTCAATAATCAATTCAAGTCCATCATCCGAAAACCTCTATCTTCCTAAAAGATATTGATTTTTTGGTAAAAAAAAAGGATCGTATAGGATTATACGATAGAACCGTAATATAATCATTGTTTAAAGATTGCACGGTGACCTCAAAATTGTTTGTTTCTCCATAAAAATCTAAGTCCTTTACTCACAACTAAGCAAATAAAACTACAGCCTTATAGCACAAAGTTTTTCCTAGAACCGGAAAAAGGTCCTTGCTATATCCTTGCTAGAATCTGCTTTGGTCCTTTCCTTTTCCAAGAACAACGTAAACGTTAACTTTGTTTTCACAACCAAGTTGTACTGTGAAATTACAGTTCATTTTTTTAAAAGGGAAATGAAACGAGCAAATATACTTTCTATAATCTTTAATTTGTCTTCTAAAAAATTTTTATTTTCAAAACTAATGTAAAATATTGACTTACTTAAACATAATGTTTAGACGTTACTTTATACCACCATTTGTTTGCTGGTAATGTACCCAAATAACATATAAGCAAGAAACTCGAAGGAGTTTTGAACCACAAGTGCATCACGACCACAGCTTATTAATTGTGTGGTGGATTATGTTGCAGCGAGTCAATAAACATATCCGTTTTCGATTTTTCAATATCCTACTGATTTTAAAAATCCTTTTTATGCCTTCCAATCTTATTGCTTTAAACCAAACCTTTGAATAAAGCAAATAAACACGTGTAGTTGTTATGAATAAAATTCATAATTTATAGTATACCTTAGAGAAAAAAATTATGATAGATAAAACCTGTAAATTCCCAAAAACATTTTTTGTTCTAAATTGCTTTCATCTCAAATCTTGTATAAAACACTGACATAGTGTCAAATGATTCTTCTGATGAAACGTTACTTGAATACAGCCTCCGTTTATCTAGATAATGTTTAACGTTTTGTAAGGTTAGCTCATGTGGAACTTGTCCAAATGACATTCCCCAATATTGTGATTCACATTTGATCGTGACAAATTTGGTTCCTTTGACACTTGACAAGTGCTTTTTTGTAAATTCGGTCTCAAACATTTTCCTGCGAATTAACATTAATTGCCAATACCAAGCAAATACTGAGCGTGAAATGTGGTTATTATTTTGAAAAACTTATTCAATGTAATTCCAACTCGAAGAATGGTTTAATTTAATGTCGAACTCCCCTCTTTGGATATTTTTTATTTTCAATAATTTTCATCCAAGGGCAATGATAGAATTTGACGCCGTAACTGCTTGTGATTCCCTAGCAATATTTTGCAAACAGTAACCTATTTATTAGCACGATATAAAATATTTCTTTACACAACTTACTTTGACTAGTACTCGACAGGCAGATTGCTCTTTTCATTATAACTTGTATAAAAAGTAGATGAACTTTTTGTTCAATAAAATAAATCAAAATACCTTTTATATATTTCATTTATGCTAAGAGAAGCAATTATGTTTATTTTTTCTGTGCTTTCATTATTTTCATTTTAGTTCAGAATAGTCTTTTTTTTTCTTTTTTTTTTAATAATAAAAGTAAATTGTTTTATGTTAAAATTTTTATTTCATTTTATTTCTTTTCCTCATTAAATTGTCATTTGTGGGCAGACTTGAAGCACAAGCGATTTCATAACTCACAAAATATTTTATAAAATTGGTAGCAGAGCGTTGTTTCTGCAGCACTTGAAATCCGCTGAACAGACAAAATGGTCAGCGTTCTTGTAAGAAATCTTGTTTCGGAAGTTGAAGGAATCTTTCCTCCTAAAGAAGATACTAACACCATGATTTTGTGGACTGTGAAAAGAATGAGACTACACAAGCTTTCACAAAAGCACTAGATCTAACAAAATTCATTTTATTTAACATAAAACTTTCCTGCGAATTCATTGCAAGTACCTTGAATATTTAGTAATCACACGCGTGTATCACAAGTTTTACACGATTCACCAAAAAACAATCGTTCGAAATTGAAACTATACGTAGGGGAATTAATAAAAAATATAAGAAACTTAATCACAAATCGTTTAAAAACAGAAACCAAAAAAATATATATAAGGTACAGGATACCGGTTGCTTCGTAGACTCAGAATTTGAAAACTAACTCAGAGGGAGAACTATAGCATTTACTTGGGATCGAAAATTTGACGAGGAGAACCGTGATGGCGGCAATCAAGATGATTCTGATTCTCTTTCTTCATCATCCAGTCTAAATTTCACGAGCAATCAATTT